TCTTTTGTGTCAAGAATATGTAGTTTTATGATCAGCTACGGTTAAAATTATCTCTCTTAAAATGTTGCTTATTACTAGAGGTGTCAGAACTGAACCACGGGACATAGGCGTATGCATTATCTATTAAAAAGCAGCAAATTAAGTTGTCTACAACGCACCACCATAAACACCAACCGATGAATTAAATATGCAACATCCGCACGATAACAAAGCAACAGTATAATTAGGTGACGTGAATGTGAAAAAAAATCTGAGCCAGAGGCTCACGCATGCCTCGGTTGACTCGCTTGCCATGCCATTGAATTGCGGCTCTATCTAACAGCCTTCCGTATTCCATTTAATTAAAAAATGAAACTTTTCTGCATTTAAAATAAAAATAAATAAAATTATATACGGAAATGACGTGTAATTAAAAATTATAACTTTTTGCTACTCTCATCTTTATTTAAAATTCGACCTATGTTACGAACTAAATCTCCCTGCTGCCAAAGAGCATCAATTATTCTAGCCTTTTCCTGATCGGTGCAATGCATGTCTATTTTTGTTAATATCAGCAACAATAAATAATTTACCCAGCTTTATACATATATTAAAAACCTTATTTTATGATGTCGAGTAGTTGTTTAGTTTAGTTATCTTGATCTTGTGTATTTTATTAGTGATTATTTATTTATAAGATACTATACCCAATAAATAGTTAATAATATTAAAATAAAAATTATAGTAGGCTTACATTTTAAAATATGTTTAGAAAATAAATACGCTTTGTAAGTTTTTGAACAAAATTTATAAAATTCAGACCGATATAATCTAATCTAAATTATTTCTGCTGGAATTCAAATACCTAACTAAACCTGTATTTAACCAAAAAATGTAACTTCTCTTAATAAAAAAACCTCAATTTACGTGTTACACTACTACATAGTTAACAATCTCTTTATTACCTTGGATTACAATAATGGAATCATACATTAATGTATAATAATTAAAAGTATTAAATTAAAATCACGAAAAAGAACAGGTTACGTTTACTATACTATTGGAAGTAGCATGCCATTGCGAAAAGTGTGGCTGAGAGACAGACAGTATCTCAGACGCGCTGTCTCACTCTAGCACGCCGCGATTGGTTGGAGCATTCATTTCCAACCAATCGCGGCGTGCTAGAGTGAGACCGCTTGTCCTGAGGTACTGTCTGTCTCTCTCGCACACTCAGCCACAATTTTCGCAATGGCATGCCTCCAGTAGTATCTGCTCGAAGGATTCGCCATATTCTTAGCGACTTTTCCTAGGGTGGAGGTATGTATTTAAAAATTGCCATACGTAATTCATTCATAAATCATTTAAGATTGCATACTGATTGATTAGTATACTATGATAGAGATATATGATAATTAAATTAAGATGTTGAGATATTTGGTCTACATACAGTAATCAACAATTAATTATTATTACAAGAAAAAAATTAAGAAAATTTCCTTTATCGTTTACGTTTATGGTGTATAAAATTATTTATTAATTTTACATTTTTATTTGCAATTTATATATTTTATTCCATATTGAAAACTAGTTATTTTGTCTGAAATATTTTGTATATATGAAATATAAAAAACGGGTCATCCCATTTATAAATCATGTTTGATATAGCCTTCCAAAACACTCCGTGTACTTCATAATATTTTTAAAATGTCCTCCTTAAGGCACCGCTCGATGCCCTAATAAAATATGTATTTTCTATCTATATGACATAGGAGTAATATAATCACTATTAGTCCACCCTGTATGTATTGATTTAAGACAACATTTATAAATGAATATCTCTAATACGGGAAAACACTAAATATGCAGGTATGTGGATGTAGTGAACAATGGTTAAAATAGTAAACGGTTTATAACATTTTATTTTTAAAAAATTCTTCAATATAATTATTTAACTAACCAAGAAAATGTTACAATACATTACATATCATTAATAAAATAATATTTAAAAAAATATCAAATGCAACTGGTATCAGATTAATTATTTACCCTATCGAATATATCAGAGTTTTTGATGCCACGGTGTAGTATATCTCCACACCCCACTCCCAGTCCGAAACATTCCGTAATTATTTGTGGTGGGGTGCGATAGAATGAGAGCGACCCAACTAGTGGGGACTTTAAGATGCCCATCAGTGTACATCCTGAACCAATTTGACGATTCAGTTAGTAATGACTGACGTATGCGAATTTATTTAGGAATTTTTTACTAAAAAAACAACTACGCAACCTTAATCACTTACCACCTTATTAAATATAAAACAAATTTAAAATGTAGTAAAAAATATGTACCTATAATGATTTAAAAATAAAATTCTGGTGAGTACGCCAATGCATAAATGCAGTCGACAAAAAGACGCAAGATCGAGAACTGTGCCCATCTTTTACCATCTCATTGTGCGGAAATTTTATTGACTCCTGGAACCACTCAGGACAGCTTTCTCAAGGATAGGCAGGTTCGGTATTGACATCTAGATGCTCTAGATGTATTTCTTTGTTTTTTCATCTCCTACAATTAGAAAAGAAGAAAACATATCTGGAGCGTCTAGATGTTAATACCGAACTTGCCTGATGAATGAAGTTAATTTTTAATTCTCTTGCGGTATTTGAGGTATTCCACCAATTACATTAGTTCTTAACATTGCAGTCAGCCGATTGACCGACACGGACGAGTTAAAAATTTCACAATGTTTTCAACCTTCGTACAGGTGATATCGCGCTTCACGAAATTTGTTTTATCACGCGGTTTGTGGAATCGAGAGTGCCGAGTGCCTTAATAAAATGAAATGAAGTCCATCGCTATAAGTTTTATATGCTGCATGGTACTATGGCCTTATGTAAATTCTTACGGAGTTATATGTGAGTTTCTATTTTCGTTAATGTTTGTCAACACTAGCCTAGTTAATCTCGTGATGGTCAAAATTTGAAACCGGTACGAATGTAGGTGTGTACCAGAGAGGAGTTATCCATAGCGTGTAGTAAATATATACCTAATATGAATTTTGCTAAATTAATCGGAGTTCCTACCTACCTATAGTTTGTTTAAAATTCTTTTGTGATATCATATCCTATAGTACAATAACTTCGAGAAAGGATGAATCACGTAGTATTTACTTAATTAATCACCTGTTTCAAAACGTTGATATCTAGATACATATTTAATATAAAGTTGTGGAAATTAGAAATAAAATTCATATCATGGAAACTTCTTAGTCTTATATCTACTCTTAATTATATGTACATGTACCTATTAATAACAAACAAACCGTAATTATTTGGTTTGTTAAGTGTTTCATGTTTCATACATACCTTGGCGGTAAATGCAATTTTTTTTATTCCCTTAGACAAAACGCAAAACTTCATCTTTTTCCTGTTTTTTTTTTATTACAAAATATAAGAAACGCTCTGTTGAATGATTTTAATTCCTAGATAGGTATCTACTTTTTTAAAGTTTATAGTAGAATTTATGTATATGTACATAGGTACCTATTTTTTACTTTTTAAGCAACAGGTGTGAGTTTTAACTTCCTATATAGTAAAATTTCATCGACCTATTAAAAGTGTTAATTGTTTTGTTCATCAAATTTGCATTTTTTTTTTTTTCGTAATGAAGTGGTAAACTAACGGAAAATTGATTTGTTCCAAATAATGAATCTAAATCAACTTATTTCACACTTCTATGGATCAGTGCATAGTACTGCATGCTGCATGCACTTGTTTAAATATAATCGTTTTTCTTTTGAAAAATTAAACAACAGTGAATTACTTCTACAATTAGTAGAATCTTGTATTTGTTATTATTTAAGTGACGTAACTGACGTAGGTAGTCATTGTTTGTTTTAATAATAGGATGCCTGCCACAATTTCAGCTGTAGTGTGGTAAACAGTATCGCAATTTAATTGATCGTATGATATTTCAATTATCCAAAATTGGTGATGATACTCTCTTATTGCAACGAGTACAGATACTTGACTTACATGTATCTGCATGTTTGCAGAAAAAATAACTCTTTTATATCACTGAAATGAGGATTTTCTGTTACGGAGTTTTGCTAGAGATTTTTAAACTCTCAAAATTAAAAATAGGTACAATACATTATTGGAAACTGTATTAAATCAATGTATTAATATTCCCCCCCTAAAAGTGTGTTTGTGAAATTGCTGCTGAAAAAGTCACACATTGTTTCAATTATGGATGTTTGGTCAAATTATTTCATTTTTGACATGTGTTCTAATAAAATAAATCTATTTTAAATGATGAGATGATGACGTAGGCGAAGTATAAGATAACCGTGTACGAACCTGTGTACTAAATTTGATTTGTTCCAAAAATAAACCATAACTTGTTGTAATAATGTTTACATTCGCCCACAATTGATTGTTTCGTAATCCTTACTTTTAGCCGAAAGGTATTACGGGTTTATCCTGAGACATAGTAGTTATAAATAATGATAGGCAAGCGCGTTTCGTGTTTCTAGGGGCTTTGATAAGCAACTTTTGCAAGATAACGAGCGGAAAAATTTAAGACTGACACAAATTATGCAGCCTGGTGGATTCACCCATCATCATAAAAATTTATAAATTTGTATAAAGTTAATTTAATTGCAAGCAAGTTTGAACTTCATTAAATACTATAGTTTTTTAAAATAACATTTAACTACAAATAATAGAGTTGGGGTGTACATATACAGGGTGATTCAGTCATAATGTCATTAACTTTAAGAGAAGATAGGGAAAAATGAGTAGAATACCAATACGCGATTAAAAAAAATTTAATATGCATATTTACGGTGGAAAAAATATTTTCAAGTCATTATTTAAACCCACAAAGGTTTATCTAGAGTGAATATTGATCTACCGTAATATTTGGTCATTAACCTAGCTTTAATAACGAATAAATAAATTTCAATTTTTTATAATTTAATGAGTTTTTACATTTTAGTATTACGTTATATATCTTATTGTGACATTACTTTTGAAAGACTAGTATGGTACCTATTTAAAATAACAGTACGGCTAAAAAATCCGCTGCACTTTGATTTTGAAACCAATTGCAAAATTCAAGGCGGCTGGGGAAATCAGCTGTTTCGCTTCAACGTTCTGTCTCATGAGGCCTTCCAAATGCGTGGTTAAAAATTAAAATTAACGACATTATTACCGAATCATCCTGTTTATTTTTTATATAAATATTTCTTATATTTCCTAAAGTAAAAAAATATTTGAATATGTTATTTTGTAGGTCTTATATTTTAAAGAACTGATTTGTCGGGAACGGTAGAAAAAATAAAGCAAACCCAGTATCAGTACTAATTAAAATGTTTGTTTCAGACAAAATATGTACCGAGAAATACGATAGGGATGCTTGCCAGCAAATTGCTAGAGATCAGCAATATGCGTGTGCTGAGGACATTGGGTCAGCGTGAGTATAAAACATATTAATTCTTTTATTTTAAATTTAATACTGGAACTCACGGCTTCGCATTTTTCTACAGGGTCGACTGTATCCTGAACATAGACCAAGGTTTGCCACAATTTTCTATAATTAAACCAGAAGAAGCTTTATTGGCTGCTCCTCTGGTGTCGTCGACAGTGGTTGTTGTTGGAGAAGTAGCGTCAGGTATTTTTATATTTAGTTAATATACAGAGTGTCCGTCCGATACGTTTATTACATGATAGATCTAAATAATTAAAGTTCTATACAATTTGGGTCCTAAACTAAAAAAATATATTTAGTGTATTTTATATTTGGGACAACGTGATAGATTAAATGTATTTTCAGAACATCCCGCCTACGAAACGGCAATCATTGTCAGAAAACCGTTCGACGGTGGGTTCGAAAACCTGAGGGGAAAACGCTTCTGTCATCCCGGTTTCAGACACAACGAACTGGTCACCAAGTTCGTTCTAGGAGAATTTGAATCGAAAATCATTAGTCTGAACAGCAGCTATTGTGATATCGGCGAAAATGCGACCGTTTTCGAGAAGAGGGTCAGGGCCTTGTCTAACTTTTTCGGCACTGCTTGTAGACCTGGAACCTGGACAGAATCTGAAGCTCTCGACATTCAACTGAGTGAGTATTATATTTTTGGTTTTTGTTTTTAAGAATACAATTGGTTGTTTGATTCCGACAGTGTCTTATAGAATGATGTATGATGATGGTGCCGCTACTTACAAATATTTATGTGACGCTTTCTTATTATTTTCACTCTTCGTAGTTGGCAACACTGACAGTGATTTACTTCATTCAGTGGCGGGTTAAGTGCAGTGGCAATAGGGTCACATATTCCTTTTAATCAGAAAAATACAACACAAAACGCAGAATGTTGGCTTTAATTAATTTGAGGGTTAATGATTTTGATATTATTATTATTAACCTCAAAACTAAAATAAGAATCGATATCTTGTTTTTTATTATGCGCACTTCAAACTAAAAGCAACTATTTTTAAATGAATTTACGTTTACTTTTCTCATTTAAAAATGCGAATAAAAAATCGATTTAAAATTTCTTAAATTCTGACATAAAAAGAACATGTTAATGCCTATAAAAGAATTTAAAATAATAATTGCTTAATTGGTTTAAAGTAAAAAAAGTGAATATGTACTTTTAATTTTGATTCTGTCCCTACCAGTAATAACACAAAAAAAAAGTTGTCTGTACTTTTCATGCAACATATATTATCCGTAGTATTTTTGCCCTTCCTGATCACGAATCCGGTGTCAGAATTGAGCTATCACATCACAGGAATTTCCTAACCTCAAAAAACAGGTCAAAAATAACAAAAATTCACGAAAAAAGTGCTAGAAAGTGTAGAAAAATTCGTTTTTAAAAATTTAATTAGTTACTTATGTACTTTAAGATGGTTAAAACATGATTGGGTACTCAGGTTATAAAGTAAACAAAAATATTACAAAATGAATTTCGCAATTCTGACCCCCGTATACCAAATTTGACGCGAATGTGTTATTTTTTTAAATTCGGTTGGCCTTGGATCTGCCATCTTGAATTTTGCAAAATTGACCTCGGATCCGTGATCAGCCAGCCCGAAAACCCCAGTATACCAAATTTGGCACGAATGTTATTTTATGAAAATTTGTTCGACCATATTTGATCCGCCATCTTGAATTTTGCAAAATTGACCTCAGATCCGTGATCAGCGACCCTGAAAACCCCCGTATACCAAATTTAGCGCGAATGGGTTATTTTTTGAAAATTTGGTCGGCCATCTTGGATCTGCCATCTTGAAGTTTGCAAAATTGACCTCGGATCTGTGATCAGCGACCCCGAAAACCCCCGTATATCAAATTTGGCACGAATCTGTTATTTTTTGAAAATTCCTGGTATCTGACTTTAAATTACCTGTTTTTTTGAGGTTAGAAAAAGAACCATCAAATTTGACCGCCAATTCACGTTCGGCGGGGTTTTAACCAGATAAGTGAACATTTGATTATAGAAAACAATTTTCTTTGTATTTTTCCTAACATTTTTTCGTGAATTTATGTCATTTTTGACCTGTTTTTTAAGGTTAGGAAATTCCTGTGATGTGATAGCTCAATTCTGATACCGGATTCATGATCAGAAGACAAAAATACTACGGATAACATCATATTATGTCGCATGAAAAGTATAGACAACTTTTTTTTTGTGGCTGTGTAATTTTTGTAATTAATTTGTTATAATTTCTAACAACTATTTAAACATTGAAATGAAGAATAAGAATATTTAATATTTTTAAATACATTATGTAATTTTCTGTAATATTAGCTAATTTATTTGTTATGGCGTACTTTATTTCATCAACTGTGTCTAAACTGTTTACATATATGGAATTTTTTAATATTCCAAAGAGATAATAATCTAAGGGAGTTAAGTCCGGAGATCTTGGAGGCCATAAGCCTCGGCTAATAATGCCATCGTCATAATATTCTCTTAGGGACTCCAGTGTTGTGTTAGCTGTGTGTGCTGTTGCCCCATCTTGTTGAAAGTAACCATTTGCAATTCGGAATCGTGTAGCTGATTTAAAAATGCCTGCAAAATGTTTTGTCTATATCACTCAACAGTCACATTTTCTTCAAAGAAAATAGGTCCTTCGCAAGATATGGCTACCCAAACTCCTATTTTAACAGGATGTAAAGTTGTTTGCATTATAACGTGTGGATTCTCCCCAGACCACGTACGATAATTTTGTGAATTTATGTATCCACTAAGATGAAACCATGCCTCATCGGTAAAATAAGTTATATCTAAAAGGTTTTCATCGTCAAGTTGTTGTTAAACCAATAATTGCGGCTTCACGATTTAGAAACTCTTCCTGGAATTTCAAAACACATGAATGGATTGAATAATTCCATCCCTTTCCATCTCGTTCACCACTCTGAAAGTAAGCCTCTGCAATAAATTTATCGTCTTCTAACTCTTCTAACGCAAAGACAGTTTTCTAACCTAAAACAGTTCGAATACTTTATATGAAAGAAACCATCAGTATTTGCTTCCTTGCCATAACAGCTAACAGATGATTATTTAGAAGATTAACGATAAATTCAAATAAAAACACAATCGGCGAGTACAAATAAATACAACACCAAGCACACGCGGGAAACACGGACGTTTCTGAATTGACAGATCGCGACGGTCGGAAATCTAAGAAAACGGAAAGTAATTTTGATCAAATGGAAGTAAATTTTAATATCTTTGGTAACATTTACATGTGGCGTAAGCTTCAGTCATTCTGAATCTCTTGGTATAAATAAGGGTACCGTTAATTCAAACGCCAAATCGAAAGTATGGTAGAAGTGATTGAGTATTATTACTATTATTGTATATAAGCACCAGGGATGTACACAAGTAAATAGTAAGGAGTGTTGCCGATATGATAATTATTTAATCGTTTTGAATGTTCTAATTACAGTTACTTTTATATTATGTATTTTATTCAATATTATTCATTTTTAAAAAATAATTTGGTAAATGACTAAAACGTGACGAAAGGTCTAACTCCCCACTTTTCATAAATCGCCTTCCAAGCTAGATATCTTTCCCCTTTTGGGTCCTTTTTCACTTCCAAATCTGCATCGATATTCATATACTGAAAATTATCCGGTTGCACTTTGGGCCAAATTATATTTTGTAACAATTCACTTTTTTCCGGCGTTGGGTTCCTATAAACAAAACACACTGTAAATTTTTTTTAGTAACCCTAATTTGGTACCTACATTGTTTTGGCGAAATCGGTCCACATCTTGACCATTCGATAGTGGGTTAGGACGTCGGAAATAGGAAATTGACTCAAGTCGGAATTGTCGTAAGCACTCGATTGAACTCTAAAGTAATAAGGCCTTTCTTCGCTGTGTCCGACTTTATCAGCACCTGCGAAAATTGAATTAGTCTATGTAGTCATAAACCTAGAGAAAATCTAGATTGTAGGGTTCAGTAATTCATGGTTAACCTAGATTATCCACTGCTCTCTGCTATTTGCTTTTTCCGCTAGTTTAATTTGTAAAAAGGGCGATTCACAACATATAAAAAAATATATGAAATATTTATTTATACGCCACTGGAATTTGGTTGACTATATAATACCTGACCTAGCCCACAGTCAGTCGGCATGTACAAAAAATTTACGACAAAAAACGGGAAAAGAATGTAGAGGTAATTGTTGAAAGATACTCAAGTTACGTATACAAAAACATCCCCATCCTTAGATACTAATGCCTATTTTTAATATGTTTATATATTTATCAGCTGAAGGTTCAAGAGCTCTTGCCCACAAATTAAAAATGCTTATAAACATACCGAGGTATATTGTGGCACTGAGCTCGTTGACTGCGCTTAAGAGAGTATATTTTTAGTTTTCAGTCTGATTTGACACATAATAGATGTGATATCTGAATAAGTGAATAAACAGTATCATTTAATTATTAAAGGGGTTTAGTGCTACCCATAATCGCAACAGTAATAATAATAATATAGTACTGTTTTTATCACAGCTATTTTAAGTTGGCGAATTAAATTATTACTTTTATTTGCTTTTATTAATGTGCAATTTCTACTATTGTTAAACGTAATTAGTAAATGTTAATTAATATTTCAAACAAGAAAGAAATTAGTATGTGCGTGATGTTATAAGTTATAACATCTGTTAAGAATTTCTGATGCAGTTTTGACACACCAAGACAAATAGACGAGCAAAATTGCAACGCTAAGTCGCCTAGTTATCGAAATAAATAACCTGGCGTAGAACCAAACCAGACTTGGTGCGATTTCTTAATTAGGTGATCGTGTACACGAAACCACTTTTTACGACATTTTTTGTTGTTCGGGATCTTTTTAATTTCGAAAAAATGAAAAAAAATCTATTTTTATGAGAATATGTTTTTTAAGGTCTCCACCGTTATATCTCAAAAAATAATTATACTATCGGAGTATTTTTTTTTAAATTAAAGCAGACACAATAGCGCTTTTAACAGTCCTAATGGATCTTATAAAACTCGCATTTTCATTTCGCTAAAAATCAGGAAACTTGATATTTAAATTTTGTGTAATACAATTTTCACCAATCGATAAACATACATACAGCGAAGAAAATAAAGCCCAACCATTACATAAATGTTCTTAATGTTCCCATAAACAAAAGTTGAAGGGGTTTAAATCAGGATACCGCAATGGCCATGCTATCGCTGACCCTACTGCTATCCACCGAATTTCTTGAACTTCGTAAAGGTAATTTCGAACATTTTGTCGAAAATGAAGACGTGTATCACTGTATAAGAATCACTTTCGTTATCGAACAGCTAAGGGCTCTTTTTCAAGAAATTCTGCCTTTAACTTTTCGCAGAAATTCAAGATATTGAAAACTATTCGACTTGCTACAAACATTTTGTACACTTGTGACACTGATCTAAACAATAAACCACGGTAATAAGAGCGCTATGAAAACCACAGTAATACTGAATATGCATTTATCAAATCAAATCAGCCGAAGTTACTTCAAGGGAAACACAAAAATTCGTAATTCAAAAAGTGTAGTTTGCACGATCGTGCACAGTGCAGGGGGTACTTAAGTATGATCTGATAATAAAGGGGGTGATTTTTTAGATTATTTCAAGGAAAAAAATTCTTCGAAATACAGGCTGTTAAAAGAATTTCTGAAAAATATCACATTTAGACAAATTAATATTTCGTAAGTTGTTTGGGCTGCTGATTTAGTTAATTAAGTGAAGTGAAAAAGTGAAATTGTTTACATAGAATTATTATATTACCCAGTAGCAGGGATATTGGGAGACACGTTCACTAAAAACCCTTAAAGTGATATAAAATAATTGGAGCGTACTTAGGAACCACCCTGAAGACGATTGAATAAAAATAAGTTAGTTAGTTAATATTTGAACTTTATCTGATCCGGAGATATTTCGTAAAGCACATGCATGTATCGCCCAAATTCATTAAATGTGCTAAAAGCACCCACATCAACTTTATGTATAATGTACATGCCATTGGGACCTGCTAATTCATTTAATGAACACTTTTGTGTTTTTCGTTGACCTTCGGGAGAAATTACACAGGAGCTAATAATAGCGCGCCAAGAAAAAAAACAAGAGCAGTCAACACATTTCATAATATAATATTAATTTATACTGTTTACCTTCTAGAGTGATGTTATTGTTCCCCATTGGACCTTTGTATGAGAACTGATAGAAATATACGTCGGTGTAGTTAGATTGAAGCTCGGCATGTTTTATTATGGCCCTGGTATAGGAATTGTCGCTAATGTACTGAAACAAACATAATAATAACATCCGAATTCTGTTGCATATGATTTTCAGATTATAATCTAAAATCACGGCTAGTTGGTTGATTTTAAAAAAAATCATGACGGAAACATAAATTTTATTAATGAACCGCTCTTATTTCAGAATACAATTTGTAAATTGTGAATGAAAGAATTCGGCTAATATCGCATAATTTATGTTTCTGTATTTTAAGCTTTCACGGTCAACAAATACCTACTTTAAATTTCTATTAGTGTTTAAAAGAACAATATTTGACTAAAATGTTCTACTCACGCCTAATGACCGGCCCAAGTTATTCCGCATTTCATTTCCCTCGTCAACATATATTTTCCTAATTTCTGCAGCCACTTCGCTTTCATTAGAAGAATCGTTCACGTGCATGTCGCTGGGAATCAGTAGCTCGGGATAATCGTCATATTTGACAAACTTTTCAAGCAATGCTGCTAAATCTGGAACATGAAACACAAAGTTAAAAAATTGGTACATGCAATTCAATTTTTTTAATTACCTTTTGCGTTGCCTAATGATTCTTCCGAATTTATTCCGATTATCAAAGGGATTTTGTTTATATCTCCTGCCTCCAATGATTCGTACATGTTTTCAGTAAGGAAAGCCCCTTCATGTTCCACTTCAAGAACTGGCAATGCTCGGTCCTAAATTTTTAAATTTTATTTTATTTTATTCAGTTTTTTATCTTTTCAACATAAATGAAAAATTCAGTATGTGATAAACAAGACCACAACACCCATACGTTTTTGGGTTCGCTGAATCCGAATCCGGTGTCCATTTGGCGAAGTTATTTCATGCTCAAGGTTATTTCGCCGGTGTCAAAAATTGCTAACTTCGTCAAACCAACACCGAATTCGAATTCACCGACCCATACAACGTATGGGTATGGTGGTCTAGTTCTATCACACATTGATTTTTTCGCCTTAGGCCTGTTATTTATTGGAGGATGGCGATACTTACATAGTTTACTGTTTGTGTAGATGCCACGTCAATTTCTTTAGCTGTTACGTTCTGTAAAAACTCCAACAGCGTTGAACTGCTGTCTGGTAACGTTTCGTTCGTTATTTTTGAAGCTAACTCAAAAGCGTAAGGTCTTGGATCGTCCAAAAATCCCCAGGGGTTTAGTGCTGAACCACTTTCTGCTATACCAGCTCGAAACAGACCTATAACGATGATAGTTCACACGGTTAAAAAAGCCAGATGGGTTGTGTATAACAAACCTGCAGACTGCTTGCTTAAGATGTGATAGCCAACCGAAGCTGCGCCCGCGCTCTGCCCAAATATGGTAATTTCGGAGGAGTTGCCTCCAAACAGTCCAATATTTTGCTTAGTCCATTTCAAGGCAAGGACTTGATCTTTAAGTCCCGCATTACCTGGTACTACGTCATCTCCAGTAGATAAAAACCCAAACGGACCTACGCGGTAATTGAAAGAGACCATAACCACATCCTTTTCTAGGAGGAAGTCAGGTCCGTAGACGTTGTACGAGGAAGCTCCGTCTCTAAAGCCGCCGCCAAAAATGAAAACCATCACAGGAAGTTTAATGTCGGATTCCTAAACAATAAATACCGGAAACGCCTCTTTTTTTACACAAGTCAAAATTTTTCCTTACCTCTTCTAATTTGGTGGTGTAAACGTTTATATAAAGACAATCTTCAGTTTCATCATCTGTGTTTTTGGCAACAGAAAAGCACCTTCCAATATCTTTCGTGGTATTTAATATTCCATCCCAACTTTCAGCAGGTTCTGGTGCCTATACAGTTATCATTTTTTGTTATATAGATCGCTCCCCACTAAACACGAAACGTAAATGAAACGTTGCAAATGAGATGTTTTATTAAACATTTGAAACACTAACTAGAAACCTGTGATGTTTTGTGCTAGAAACGTTTCTGTTTCATTACAGAAATGTAGCACTTGAAAACTTATTTAGTGAAACATAGCCGAAACGTTACAATTGAAGAGAGTTTGAAACATTACTCGAAACATTCCCTTTCGATCTCGGAAACATAACAGACGAACAACCCTTTGCTATTTTTGCTTATCTTATGGAACATTCGGCATTAGTTAAATTTTGCTCTCAATCCCCAATCCTTCTCAAGCGTTAGTTCATTTGCCTTTGTTATATAAAGACATAATTAGAAAAAAAAATGTGGTAGCATATTTATAACACAAGTCTAGAAAAAATGTATGTTCGTGACTTGCGTAGACTGCGCGTAACAGCCCGAGTTTATTTGTTTCCCGTGTGTCGTTTCAATTCGTATTATGTTAGGTTAGGTTTGCGGTTTGTCAGTTTGCTTGGTTTCGTTGTTATTCATCTTTACTTTGACGCTATTTTATGTGATAATTTGTAGTGTGTGCAGTTGTGGTTATTGTAAGGTGCATATAAAATAATGAATATTGATGCAAAATGTTTAAAACGATATGTGTAGAGATTTCCAATTTTGCGTCACATCTACCTAAATATAGTTATACCCACTACCTATTACAGACAAGAGGACAAGGGACAAGAACTAAGAAAATGGAACAACAACTATACGTTTCGATATAATTTGAAGAGCAACTACTTAGTCAGTGAGAACTATTTGAAATATGGATGAATCAAGTGAAATAGACGTCATTTATTTTATATTTTGTACAAATGTTTATATTTGTTTATGTGTATAGGCATGCTTAAATAAAAGAGTTTAGGTATACCTACAGATATTTACTTTGTCAAGATATCATTTTGTATCCTTATTTCTGCTGTATAATTTATTATTATTAAAAGGATATATGTAATATTGACCATGCGTAGAAGAAATTATAACTTTATATTATTTTTCAGTAATGTTATTTGTTTTTCATGTACCTACCATTTTAAGATTCATAATCATAACTAACTTTTTCTAATTATCAGTTCGTCATTGTTACCATATTCATGAAGGTCTCAACATTAGAAAATTTCCATTTCAGAAGCGTATTTGAACTATATAAAATGTGTAGCTTTTTTTTAATGCTTCTGATATTGTTTTGTGATATTTTTATTTGTACGATGAATGGCAAAATTCATAATCCATATTAGAAACTTTTTTCAGTGGCTTCTCAAAAAGAAAGAAATTCTTAGTAAAAGTTGCCGCATCCCCAAACTAGAAGAGCATATTTATTTTTTTTAATATACAATGTAACTTTTTTTAGTTCGAATTAAGTCATTCACAATACAAATAAAAATATCACAAAGGAGTATTAGAGATATTTAAAAAAATACTCACACTATTTATACTATTTCAAAAACGCTTTTGAAATGAAAATGATCTAAAGTTGAGAGCATTATGAGAACAATATGGTAATAAAATTATTATGTTACTCAAACATTTCTGAAAATATACTGAAACGTAAAACAAAAATATCGAGGGCATAAATGGAACATAAAAAGAATGTTACTGAAACCAATTTTTTGAAACGTTTCATTGGAAACGTATTTTGGGGAGGACATCTTGGGCTTCTAGAACGTTACCAGAACGTTGCATGGATTTTTTATGAAACGTTTCAAGAAAAATGGAAACGTTTCTGAAACATGTCAGAAACTGAAAAATGTTTAGTGGGATCCTTTGTATTTAAAATATTGATTTCTATGAATTGTATGGACTTACCTGAAATCGCAGTGTTCCCAAAGGCGGTTTAGCATATGGAATTCCTTGAAATGCATAGAAACTCAAATTGGTAGGGGTTTGTAGAATGTGTCCTCTTATTTGGCCTTCTGGTAAAGTAACAAGAACCTCTGCAAACTTATTGACAATTAAAGACATTAAATAAAAAAATAATTGTTTACTTACTGCACAGCAAATTACGTGAAAAATGAAAATAAGCGAAATTTTGTGTTCCATGTTCCAAGTAGGTATTAAAACTGCGATATTTTGTATCTGAACTTGTAATTAGTAAAGATAAATCTTTTATCAAAAATGAATTAGTTTAACCACTTTATTCGAGTGCCTAGTACGTGTATATTAATATGATTTTTCTTAGTAAAAAAAGGTCATTAATTTTTAACTTTGTATGTGATAAAAGTACCAGTAAATAAAATACTTATAGAACCATATACAGTGTGTCCCAAATTGATGGAACAAAATTCATATTGTTTTTCTAGTTGAAATTTAAAAAAAAATCGCTGAAACAGGTCAACTAGTAAATAAAAATTGTCACTTTCAGCAAATGTTCAAAGTGACCCCCATTAACACAATGCGAAATGCGGTGTTCAAAGATATCAATTACAGTTTGAATAACATTTTTCAATCCTTCGATAGTGTCTGGTCTGTTCACATACACTTTGCTTTTTAGATAACCCCACAAAAAAATATCTAGTGGGGTTAAGTCAGGAGAGCGTGGTGGCCATTCAACTTCATTAAGGTAATTTCTTACATCGAGGCGAACATGGGGGGGGGGAGGCACAATCTTGTTGGAATCAAAGATCACCAGCAGGCATATCATGCTCATTAGGGTTAGGAACAATTAATTGCAGGGCTGGAATCAGCTGAAAACGCAAAAAAAATCCAAATAAAGGTCCCAGTATGCGATTTCCTACTATTCCGTTCACTATTTCCGGCCGTTTCTTGCATCCAATGCGGATTTTCTGGGCTACCGTTCTAGTAAGTGAATAACTGTCAAAATAGACATTTTCAACATCGCATTGATTTGGAATGAGTTTTCTAGAATTCTTTAAATGTGGGTAATTGATATAAAAGAAAGATGTATTTTAAATCTATTTATTAATGTTGAAATTAAATGTACAGTTTGTACAATTGCTTACAGAAATTGGAGCAGTACATGTTTTTTCAATTTCTATTCTATTCTAGAACTGACAATTTCGTCAATTAAGAAAGCCGTGACAACAATAAACATCAGTAGATTTCAAAAAATCATAGACCTAGTAATTATAATTATAAGGTCTATGCAAAAAACCTGCTTCGCAAATTTATTCAGAAACGGCATTTTTGACGTTACATAAAAAATTAAATACGTATATATAATTTCGTTTTCATTTATTGCGATCGTGCAAAAAATAGTATAAGCATCACGAACGTTAAGAGTTATACCGTTCTCAGATAAAATTGGATCCAAAAATTGTCTTCGCACGGTAAATTACCCTTACCGTTCTTAATGCTTAATATACTATTTCCGTTCATTTCCACGAGAAAACAGTAAAGTACTTTTTTTTCGTCTGCAAAAGACCTATAAAACTAGCCCTCAAGCTTAAAAAATATCTATTAGACCAAAAGTTATAAACAGAAGAAGTTTATTTATGACTTTTGAATTAAACATTTATAAACTGCGTTATTATTACCAAAACGTTTTAGCATCGCATCCTCTCAATCCTGATCACTGTCTAATAACTCACACGAAATCTGGAATCGGTAAGTTGAATAGTTTACAAGTTATGGCCTTATAAACAAATTAACTAATTATTAGTCTGAACGATCTCGAGCATCTTCCACAATCGCACTGATTTTTCTCATGGTAGATTTCATAATAATACATTGAAATCTATAATTTTTTTTAATTTCAAATTTACAACCTGGAAAGTTTTTTATTTTTTAGCCTTAATTACAAAATGAAATTTACGGCGCACGCGCGTGGTATAATTATATATTATTACATATTCGGAAAGCTTGTGAAAAGAGCTTTAAGTTAAAAAAAATCGTCAAGATTCGTTGAAAAACGTCGAAGTTACAGAATTAGAGCGACTTTCTGATCACATATTTTTCAAAATTTTCTCTCGAAGCATGAAAATGAAATAAAGATGCCATTTTTTTAAACTTGTCTCATCTTATGATCTAGTTAAAAAGTTGAAAACCACCACCTTTAATAAATAAATTATCCAGATAACCTGATTTATCATCATTTATCAATTGTTTCAGAAACCAAATACTCCAACCTATGTGAGCTCTGCGGTACCGAGGGGTGTAATATAAACTATCAAGTGCCTTTCAACGAATCCCTTTCCTGTCTTACCGACAGAGCGGGTGACATAGCGCTGACAACACTAAACGATGCCGCGTTATTCTTCAATTCTTCCACCAACGCAGAAAACTTTCTATATCTGTGCACAGACGGCACAGTCAGCGATTCTACAACCCCATGCTTATGGACCAAACAACTCAATAGACTCATCATTACCGACAGGTACATTTCTAGGAAACAGATACTGTTCCATTCAAGTAAAACAAATACATCTCTTTTTTCTTCCAGTACGAGTGCCGATGCTGTGAAAAGTTTTATCGGGGACAAATTATCCACCCACTTGGCAGCATTCAGTACCATGGGCGCATCAAGCGACGTCTACCTGGCTTCTCTTCAAAAGGTTTTGGATTTAGCACAGACAGATAAAATACAATTGTCGACTGTAACACCACTGTCTGTGTATGTCCAAGGTAATATTTATTCTTTCTTTGCGTCAGGTAAATCGCAATATAATCATTTCTAGCTGGCAGAAGCATCCCCACAGTTAATGAAACCGTACAATGCGGTCTCGTGGTAAGGTGGTGCACCCTCACCAACGAGGAGCAGCAAAAATGCAAGTGGCTTCAACAGGCAGCTCTCAATGCCGGGATCCAACCCGTCATAGAGTGCATACAAACCGCCGATAAGGATACCCTGTCTTGTCTAAATGATATCAAGGAAGACAGGGCGGACATCACATTCACAGACGTCAACTATGGGTACATTGCCTTAAAGTAAGTGCAGTTTGTTTATATTTTCTACTAGATTGGATAAAAAGTTATTTTGGGTATGCTCTGAGGCTCTCTTTTGGGGCCACTGTTCTATACTGTCTTCCTAAATGATATTCGCAAGTGTTTGTCTCATTGTAAATTTTCATTGACTCTAGATGATTTAAAATGATTTTCGGTTAATTATAGCGATAATAGATTATCTCTTAATTGTAACCGACAGCAATGAATCCATCAAATTGGTGAATCAGAAATAATATGGGTCTTAATTAATTGTAATTGACCAAAAAAACGGTTCCTGGCTCTGTTTTTACGTATTCTGTCACAAATTTTGTATTTTAGGAAAGGACTGACCGTTGTAGCCTACCCCGAGACCGACACCAGACAATTGTCTTCGATTTTAGTTGTCATTCGAGCCGATGCAACCGATCCACCGAAGAGCTTGAGCGATTTGAAGGGAAAACGATCGTGTTTCCCAGAGTATGGTGGCAAAGGTAAAAAATCGAAGCAAAACGAAATTATTTGTAATAAAATAATTTTAACTTTCAGAATGGTTGTCTTTCATACACACGCTAAGAGATAAAAAGATTCTGGAGAACAGCTGCGACTATGGAAAGATATTCAGCGACTTCGTCGACAGTTCTTGCGTTCCGTCGGCGAACTCGAACGATTACGAAATCGAAAACGCCGATCAGTCCAAATTGTGCGCCCAGTGCATACCGATTGTCAACACGCTGAGTGAGTATATTGCATGGAAATTTCTTTTAGATCTTCTTAAATTTATATTCTACAACCGACAACTACTAACATGGTAATAGTTATTTACGCCATAAAAGAGGGAAGTATTATTTACCAGTCGAGGACGATTTTGCAATAGAGTCCGAGACTGGTCAATTATACTTAACTGCTGCGTGGTGTATAACATTGTATCTGCTCCCACAGTTCTTTATGGTTCAAGAAATAAAGGTTAGGTTTTATTTTTTCACATTTCTTAATCAATTCATTTTGACATTCGAAATCTTGCAAAGTCGCCATGGTTTTTTGGATTTTGTCATTACTAAGGTGTTTATAAACAAAGCTACATAAAAGTTGCAATTTTGCTGGTTTTGAATTATTGTTTCTGCCTGCGAATTTTTATTGCCGGAGAAGTCGAAAATGCGCTACCGACGAGCATAGACATTTCAAAGAATGGTGCCAGAAAAAAAATACTGGTGTTTAGCAGATAAAACTATTTATTTCTTTGATGCTACAAATTAATTACAGACTATTAAAATTATTTTAAAAATTATGATTTTGTAATGTGTTCCAGAACGCATTGTGACGTCATTTAGTGTGACCGAGAACACTCTTCTCGAAGTACAGTGAATTTGGCTGTTTCTAGACTTTTGTTACTACTCAGCCGTTATTCATCTTTTCACCTTGCTCGAGACCCAGCCATTAATTTTCTCGATTATCGATCGCACTAAATGACGTCACGAATTAGCAGCAAGAAACGTCCGTTTAAAGCATTTACGAGGAGGGAACCGGACACCATTTTAAAAGAATACAGAATTTATTTTTTCGAGTTACGAACGTTAGTCACCTTTCATTAGTACTTCATTAATACTAATACACTGGTTTCAAACGTTTTTTCCACTTCACGAAACATCTTTCGTACTTGTCCTTTCTGATGCCTTGCAGCTTCTTTTCACCTTTGGAATGCCTGCAAAACGCTTCCCTTTCAGCTCTCTTTTCATCCGGGGGATCAAAAATCACAGGGTCTCAGATCAGGTGAGTAGGGTGGGTGAGGAAGCGGTGCCATGCGGTTTTTCATCAATAAAACTCGACAAGCGGGGGACCGCGATTCATCTCATTTGCAAACCATGCACTGAGCTCGACGAAAGACAAGATGATTCAGCAAGTACATCGATAGTACGAAGAGTCCCACGAAAACTGTGTTAGGAGCTCGCTTCAACCATCTAAAGCGATGCCATTTGGCAGATCGATTCAGGAGGGGTTACATAACACCCATCTTGCGGAAAAAGCCCGAAATACAAGAGCGGCGCGCACAGCGAATTTCGTTCGGTTATTTTTTATTTGAATTAATCATTTACAACCTCTAAGAGATTGTTAATATTCTCATTACATGATTATATAAGGATTATTTCTAGACATTTAAAAAAATATATGCAAGTTGTCCATTCCACATAAGTTTAACACTTACGAGATTTATTTCTTTTTTAGCTCACGCGTACTGTAACGCCGACAAAGGGAATAAATATTACAGATCGAATGGAGCCTTGAAGTGTCTGGAGGATCAAGCCGCTGAATATGCCGTCATAACAAAGAACGGTAATACCTCAACCGCAAAGTCATCTTGTTATGCAATTGCATTTCGTTTAATTTTCTTTCAGATGTGACCGGCTACGAGACAACTTCCTCGCAATTCCGTGTCCTAGCCAAAAACGGTACGCTTGCGGAGTACACCGGCTTTGACGTGGACGAAGGGGCTGCCTTGACGATTTTGACCGCAGGTGGGGTGGTAGCCAAAGCCGACAGCTTAAAAAAGGATGATATTGTTGTATTCCTCAGAGCGATCGAATTGGAATTCGGGCAACGGTTGGATAAGTTCTTCAAAGTTTTCGAGAGATTTAACAACACCAACGATTTGCTCTTCCCGGTAAGATTTTTTTGTGCATCGTGTCCTGTGATGCCTAAAACCACTTGTGAGCCTCAGATTTTTTTAAATAGTTAAATTTTGTTTATTCCAACTTGCATTTGATAAGCTAAAGCTGTGGTAAAATAAGCGCATGTCAACAAGTTGTGTTAATTGTTTCATCCACTTTTACGGAGTGAAATACTGAGTTCCAATGCATAATTTCTTGTTTTTAATTGCCGAGAATTATCTGCACGTCTTTGTTTTCAGGATTCCACGCCTGGTTTGACCTTCGGAGGCACCTCCATCAAATACGTCGACAATTTCAGAACGATGCTAGAATATTCCGAAAAATGTATGTCTGACGGTATTCCACCTTCCAGCGCTTCGAGCGCCATGTTCTCAACAGTATTAATCTTCATTGTTGCTTTTATTACTGTAAGACTATAATTTCATTACCTTAGTCAAAACTTTATTAGTTACGTTTTCATATGCTTTCTATCATTGTTTTTAATTTTATTTGTACTTAAATATCCATGTCTATTTTCAATTTTTACGGTATATAAACACCTACAAAGTATTAGGAATTATTTTTAAACTAGTTTTTTACCTGTACTCTTTTTTAAGGAAATAAATGATTAAATAATTCGTTTTAATTATTGTGTGCGCAAAAACAATATAAGGTAAGTCTATAATTAAAATGTAACAAAATAAAAGAAAAATATGAATGGAGAAATAATAATAAAAAATATTGCTAGCGAAGTGAATATGCCGAAATTAGGCGAGCGGTTCACCCATAATGTATGTATGTATGTATGTCGGAGAGTGTTGCTTCAAACCATTCTATTTACAACACGGGTGGCAACTTGGTGGCAAAGTCTCGTACAGTTTTATGTATGATAGCACAGTCTTGAGTTACAGAGATTTTCTTTGCTCTGTTCTCATTACCATACCACACGCATGAGGCAAATGTTGAGCGACCCAGGTCTCTGGTAGGCTGCCACAGCCACGTCCCTGAGCCTGCCTTAGGTCATCCATCCAAATTACAGCCTGCGTCCGTGACCTCGGCAGATCGAAATCCACCGGCCGAGACACCCGGCTAGGCGGTCCCCGGGTAAATAAAAGAGAAATATGAATGGAGAAATAATTATCGAAAATATGAGCGAGAAAAAATGATGAAAAATATTGCTAGCGAAGTGTATATGCCGAAATTAGGCGAGCGGTTCACCCCTAAAAAGACGCTTCTAAATGAAGGTAACCGACTAAATTTACAAAGGGTATTTTTCTGATAATTAACATATTTTTTTTAATATTTTTCTTCGTGGTCAGTCAATTGTTATAAACAAAAAAGTTGTAAAAAAAAATTACTCGCCGAATGGCTTTGATAGTTTTTTATTGTAAAATGGACCAAAATAAACACTTTTTGTTCTTTGACAAAAATTCGAAAAATGCCTTGTTTCCGAGATATTTACAATTTAATGTGAAAAAAGTTTTTTCTCAAAAACTACTGAACAGATTTTTTATATATTTTTGGTATAGGTCAATTATTTTATTGAAGGTCTAAAGCGAGTAAAAAAACAGTCTTTTAAAGAAAATCAAAATGGCAAATAAGTGAATGGAAGCAGGCTACAAATAGTGAAATTGATCCATTGACAAATGGATGGAAAATCGAAATTGGTTGTTTGGATTATTTCGAAGGATAAACTGCGTTAGATATGCTTCAAAAAACGAGTAATTTTTTTTACAACTTTTTTGTTTATAACAATTGACTGACCACTCCGAAAAATATAAGAAAATATCAGAAAAATACACTATAAAATAAAGAGTTTCATGCTGTAGGTTTTTGTTTTAAAAATTTAATCGCTTCATGCCTTTTCTTTAGGGGTGAACCGCTCGCCTAAATGGAGATATAATTAATTTATGTAAGTAATCGAGTTGACGTTCGTACACAGGCTATGACGGCTCCGCATTACTACTTCTCGGATTCGCCTCTCGTCCATTTCCGGGTCTCTGGAACTAGGCATTCCTCCTTTTTGGCTTTCAGGTAATTATCTTCTATAGTTGTTCCCTTTAGTTAGCATTTTCTCGAATTTGGAGAACTTTTGACATCCGAACCCGGGTCGGCTCTTCTTCTTTCAAATTACGTCGGCGATATCGATTGCTACGGCGCACAGTGGGAAATATGGAAAAAATTCTATGCACTCGGCTATTTTAACCGTTCAGTGGTAATTTCTTTTTTATTCTTCAAATTGCTTAATTTTATGATCCTGGTGAGAATTTGATATATCTATATAGAAATTTTTTAAATCGAATGAGCTAGAAATTCGTAGAATGTACTAATGTAGGTATAGTTCCACTTCAAAGAATAAAAGTTCTTGGAAACTATTTTCTGGAACTTATATTTTTTTATTTTTGAAGCCTCTAACCACTATTTTTAAATATCTAACCTCGAATCCAGGAAATCTAAGCTAGAAAGTCCAACAAAGGATATTTTCTAAACCAAAGAATGTGACTCTTTGAAAACTCTTTATAGCTAATATTTTGTATTTCTGAAGCCTCAAACCTACGCTATGTACATAACCTTACCTCAAATGTGTATTACTTTGAGGTTAGGTTTGATGAATTTGAGGCTATGTTTTTGGGTTCAGGTTTAAGGTTGAGTATTGTGAAGCTACATGATTATTTTCGTTGTTTAATCAACCTCAGATGATTGATAATTTGTTGAAATTTTTTAAAAAATTGAAAAGCCGATTAGGTACACCATTCAATTATTCGGAAAAAATATAAAAGAAATTGTGTTTCACTCACTGTTTGACCCGAAACTGTACCATGATTTTTGTAAGTAGAATTTTTGTTTGGAAAAAAATGTTTCGGAACGAAAAAAAATTAATGGAAAATTCTTAATTTTTTATCTAAAAAAATTTGTGGTTATTTAAAAAACAGAATGGTACACTTTCACCAAATTTTGTCAAAATTAAATTGTTCTCGGAAATTTTGAGGTTATGTTTAAAAATGACTACAAAAGTTGTAGATTTTTGCATGATCTATACAACTTTTGTATTGGATACTTCTTTTTGACGTAATCTTTCGCCCACTTATAAAAGATCAAGTAGGTAACAATTTTTTCTGTGTTTGCCTCTAAATGAGTTATTTCATCAGTCTGTTTAGAATTGTAACAACGTTAAAAACAATAATTTGATAATGAAACACTAAAAATTCACTTGGAACTATATTTTAAGTCAAACGAGTAGCATACATTAAAAAATTCACTACATAAAGTGGATATCAATTAAAACATTGACTAACAATAGACGATAGATAAATGGTGAAACTAAGAAATTTATAAAATTTCATGTACAAACAACTCAAGTAATCAATATAACCCTGGAACCGCCATACTGACTAGAAAACTTAAACTAACTGTATAAAAAAAAATGTAAAATTAAAATAAATAAGAATAAATTAAATAATAAATTTAAATAGACTTAATCTGGGTCTCGGACAAGGCCTTTCTAGGCCTGTGTTCTTTGCTGGACACGTCGGTTGGCTTCTGCTGCTTAGTCGATGAGTTAACAGCATACATTTCTTTGTTATGTCGGTACTCTTTAAACGCCCTGTCTAAAGTGGAGATCACTTCATCGACATTCTCTTTCGTGAATATCATAGGAGGCTTGATTTTAATGATGTTATTGTACGGCCCATCGACGCTGATCAAAATGTGCTCCTCACGCAACCTGAAATGGGAAAAAAAGATTAGAGATATTTGAACGTGTCAAAATTGAAACTGGTGGGCACTTATTGGAAACATTGGTTAAATTACCTTCGATGCGCGTACTGAGCGCACTCTTTATCCGGCGTCCTGGTGTCTCTGTCTTGAACAATGTCGATTCCGACAAATAAACCCATACCGCGCACATCTCCAATGCATTTGTGCTTCTTCGCTAGAATGTGGCAACTGTCCAACAGGTACTCTCCAACTACCAAAGCGTGTTCACGCAGGTTTTCCCGTTCTATAACGTCGAAAACCGCGTTGGCAACGGCACAAGATACTGGGTTGCCGCCGTACTGCAATAAAAGTTAATAATAGTACCGTAAAACGGGTCTATATTGATCAATTTTGTTCAATATTATTGTAGTAAATGAGTATTTTAATTATTAAAAAATGCAAGTTGATGTAAAGTTGCTTCTACTACAACTTGGTAAAAACAAAAAATGTATTGGATAAAAATCAAGCGAGAAAAAAAATGAGCTGATCAAAATTTTACTGATTTTGGGGCTACTTTGATAATGTCCGGATTTTGCTCATTTTTGCTAGTTAATCAAGCTTGTTACCAATGAAGCCCCAGATATAGGATACTATGATAAAAAAATATTTATAAACTATCTTCATTTGTGCATAGAAACCACTATTTCATCAAATAACTGAAATTTATTGAAATAAAACACTTTAGTTGTAATAGAATATATTCTCTGACAAACATGTAAATAAAAAAAATATTCTCTATGTAAAAACAAAAACAAAACAATATCCTAAATACAGAACAGAAGAAATATCATATAAAAATATATTAAAAACATTTTTAAACCCTTAAAAAGAGTTTATAAATCTCTAAATATATAATTTCCTCTTTTAACGCTCACAGCCTCTATTTCAGACTTATGAATTGTACTTTCATGCGATCAAAATTACCCCGAAACTGTGATCAAAGTTACCCCGCGAAGCTTTGGTAGTTTTACAGAGGTAAGAAATGCAATGAAGCAACCAGTTTGTACAAAAAATAGGATAACTTAATGTCTCTTTGAATGAAAATCACCATAATTACGTTAGAGCTATGTCCTTTTAGATGCAGATGAAATTTTGGAGAGTTTATTTACGATAATTACACAATTTTAATATATCTCAAATTTTTTCTCATTTAAACTGGGTGCACAGACAACAACCGATGGATTATTCTGGTAGATTACTTATTCCACTACATATATTACTGGTTGCCTAATCAATAACATTGATCATGTCATCGGAAATGACATATATTTTACATTTTGAAGTACCTATGATCAAAGTTGCACCGAAATGATCAATTTAGCCCCGTTTTACGGTATTTATAGCTCAGTATATGACGGTTTTTAGGTCCGAATTCTTGACACATGCACCGATTGACGTGAAATTTTAACAGTGAGTAGAAAATTGCTCAAGAAACAAAAGTTACATAGTGCCGATGTGTGCTTTCACCCTAGGGGTGAATGCCACCCCTTCTCGCAATAAAGGCACCCATTTTAATCGCAAAAATCAATAGAGGGATGAATTCTAAGCAAAAAATGTTCTATAACGTTTTTTCCAAAAATTAATATTTTCCGAGTTTCAACCATTTTTGATAAATAACTTGAAAACGTTGCGTTTTATCGAAAAACCTATATAGAGCAAAAATAAAGCGTTTGAAATAACGAATCGATTAATTGTTTGTTTATTACCGTAGATGTAATAAAAACCGAGTTATCACTCTCTAAAGGTGATTGTTTATTTTTCGGAAAGTAAAATGAAACCGTTTACCGAAAATAATGGCGAAAGAACTAATTTTTCGAAGAAAATGAATATAACCGTTTTTAAAGTGCTTTAAAGTGAAAAGACCTTTAAAATGCTTTTTGAAAAAATTTCGTAGCTCAAAAACTCGCGGAGTTATGATGAAAAGCAGCCTCCCCCAAATGGTCCGAAAAAAAATTAGAGATCAAACAGAATAAACAAATAAAGATTAAACATTTTCGCTTTTTCTTTCAATGGAAAAGGTTACAAGCAAGTAGTGGCAATACATCAATTTGGTAAAATGAAAACTGTTTTCGTCACTTTTCTACGACAATTTTAGTTATTGTGGGGGCAGATTCAAAAAGGCGTGGGGGATGGAAATCCTCAAACGCTGCCGAAGGAATCTTTTATAAATAATATAGACCATTATTTAGGGAAATTTAGTGTAATAACCTTAATAAAATATAAAAGAAGCGATTCGAGAAAGTTACTTTCCCGGTGTAAGTACCTAACTTTCTCCTAGCATTCTCAGACGGTTGCTTATCAATGAATTAATACTAGAATAGAGTATTATGGGTCTGCAATTTCTTCGGGAAAGTAAACAATCCAAAAGAGTGATTTATCTTCCGCTACTCACCGTATTGAAATACTCCACTCCTGTTTTCATAAAACTGTCGGCGATCTCCTGCGTGGTGACCACGCAGGCCACCGGATGGCCGTTGCCCATGGGTTTGCCCATGGTCACGATGTCCGGCTCGACGTCGTACTGCTGGAAGGCCCACCAGTTCTTCCCGATCCTTCCAAAACCGACCTGGACTTCGTCAGCTATACAAATCCCTCCGGCTGCTCTGACGTGCTTGTACACTTCCTTGAAGTAGTTCTCCGGGGGAATCACCTGGCCCCCGCAGCTGATCAGGCTCTCGGCGATGAAGGCGCAAACGCCCTTTCCGCTCTCGGACCGAATCTTGTCGCATATGTCTTTGACTTCTTTGGCGTAGAGCGTGCCTGTCTCTTCCTTCTTGTACTCGGTGTCCCGGTACTTGCCTCGGTAAATATCTGGCAGGGATGTCTAGAAAGGAAACAGCAATAATGTAGGTATTAGGCAATGCATCCAGGGGTGTGTTTAGATGCTAATAAACAACTAAATTCTACCATAGTATAGAAGAGATTAAAGAATTATTTACATTTTTTTTACTAAAATTTTGGCGTAGTCAATAGTAAAAACAATTCGCACAAGGGCAGCAGCAACCAAAATTTATTTTTTTTTACAAATACATAATTTAATGCATTCATTTAGTGTATGAATTCAAAATTTCATTTTTCTAAAAGTTTCTTGTTCTAGAGAGTGTTTAAAATTGGGTTAACTTTTTAAATTTGCCGCCATTTGTGTTTTTTGTACTAGAATGGTCTTGGTTCTTTGACAGCTGTTAAGTAGAAACATGGCGGTTAATAAATGTGGAGAAGAAAACGATTAAACAACGCGTCTTTATTGCTACATTATTTTATATTTGGTGTAGGTTATGCAGAACTTGGAGGAAAATATCGTACAAGATATGGAAAAACAAGTTGTCCAACAAACAGCACAATTCGAAATTTGAAGAACCTGATTTAATTACTTCAGTTCAAGATCAAAGAAGTAAAATTTACAGCTGTAAGTAGTCAGTCACAAGAAAATATTGCAGCTATCAATGGTAGTGCCACTGCAGAACCAACCATATCAATTAAGTAGGCATTAAACAAACCACTTTATTCAATATTTTGCATACGGATGTTCACTTAGAGGCTTGCAACATACATTAACACAAGTAATATTGCCAACTGATCATAGATTACGTCATGCAATTGTTAATCGGGTTCTTGCAATGAAAGAAGAAAATTATTTTTATAACAAAATCATCTTTAGTGATGAGGCTCATTTTGAAATTGGATTGTAAAGTGAAGAAAACTCGCAAGTAATATTGGAACAATCAGGCCCGGATCCAGAGGGGGTGGCGATGTGGCGATCGCCACCCCCAAAGCACAACATTTTTTAAAGATCTTCAATTTCTCCAAACGACAACAGGCAGTTAGTCGATATTAATGCAAGTAGAAGGATTCATTAGTGTCAAGCTCCTCTGAAAGAAGTGCTTTGCGCCACCCCCAAAACCAGTCTCTGGATCCGGGCCTG